CCACTCTTGAATTAAGCCTGTGAATTAGACACCTGGCACATGGAGAGGCAGATAGATAAACCATTGTGCTGTCCTGTCTCGCACATGCTCAGTAGCTGCCCGGATGAGCAACGGAGTCTGCCAGGCAGACGAGAACAAGACGAATCATTCCCCGGGGGGCATTTATTTCTGTTGCACAGCACAATCCCTTCATTGCCGGTTCTAACAATCTGCCTTTTGAGACTATAACACTGCAGTAAGAGAGACAGGACATCAGAAAAAAAAGGGACCAGATGAAAAGAGGAAGGAAGTGATAAAGAGGAAGACAGATGAAGACTTCCCGAGTGCTTAATCAATCCTTCAGTGTGCACAGGGCTACATTACTGCATGCATCACCACAACACAGCTTTTTATCATATTAAGTGTGACCCACATGGCTGAATTATTTGATTTCCAACACGCGGAGATGTTGCACACAAAGTGGGACATTCGCATTCAGCTTGTTTGTTCAGATAAGGGAGCGTGGTGATGTTGTTAAGTGGCAGTTGTCGCCTCAATTCTCCTCTGTTTTTCACTTGCGAAGGGGGGAAAAAACAGACAAACAAGTGGTTTCTTCTTCGGTCTCTTATTTCTCTTTTCTGCAGCTGACTGCTCCTAAATCTCAGGTCTGGCTGGAGCTAGACAGCTCTCTCTACCAGGTGACACAACATCCCCCTTCCCTCCATTCATCCATCTCGACGTGGCCCACACAGCCTCTCTTTCCCTTCATTTCTCTGCGCGCTGGTTTCATCTCAGGCTGCCCGTCTGTCTCCGAGCTCAGGTGCAACCAATCTCCCTGTCCTCCTCTTTATTCAGCGTGCTCTCTCTCTCTCTCTCAAACAGACAGCACAGGCATTGTCATGGTGCCTTTTCCTCTTCATAATTGTTCCCTTCCTCTTCCTTCCTCAGCCTTTTCTCAATCTCCTTTTTTTCCTCTCCGTCAACAAAACGCTATCAGCGTGTTTGTGTAGCTTTTGTTGCGCAGCTCACTGCAGTATAAAAGCCTTTGTTGGCCTGCCACCACTATGATGTGGCGAGACGGAGATGCACAAGGACAAACTTGAGCTCTGTGGAGCCAGCTCTCACGACGTCACTGTTCATTCTGAGAGAAGCGTCTCATCCTGCTGCTGCTGGGGTGCGAGCTAGACACGCACCTACTCACTTGACTGAGTAGTCAACTGTGTTGATCTGTGTGGCTGGATGACGTCTCTGTATGTATGGTTCCATGTCGGCGTACCAAAGTGTTTCCGACAGTGAAATAGCTCGCGCGTGCTCCTCGGTGGGAGTAGCTGCACGGCGGCGGCAGCTGTTGTGAGTGGCTGAGCTTGCTAAGCTAATAATAAACCTTGGAGCGGAGCGAGTGGCTGTGGGCCCCACACCATCTATGGTTGACCCGTGAAGTTGAGCTGTAACAGAGAGTGGCCATCAGGAGAGATCCTGGATTAGAGAAAGCCATCCCAGTAACATGTGACTTACTGGAGTCAACCTAGAGCCTGCAACGTAACAACGCAGCTGGACGACATTGTTGCTTTGACACTGTGTGGTTCTGTCCCAGTGTAGAAAGTCGGGGTAAGTTTGTAAGGGATGTTTGATTGATGCTGGACCTATACAATTAGCTCTCATGAATTAGTTTCTCATGAAAACACGACAACACTTTGGAAGAAGAGACAAGCAGATATATGGACACATTTTGTATTTGATATCTAGAAAAATAAGACACTTTTTAAAACATGCGAAGCAACTCTCACTGGGAAAAACACAAACTTCACCTACTATAATCTTATGATTTTGTCAACTAAAATTAGACTAAACTAAATGGTGTTTTGTTCAAAAGACTGTGATTAAAGCTAAATCAAAATTTACTGTCAAAATTAACAGTGGTTCAGAGGAATTTGTGGTTTTCATCCCCACTAAGGACAAAGGTAAGTGTGCAGGAATAGTTAATGTTGGATTTGTGACACCTTAAAACAGCACAAACCTATAAAAAACATGCCAGTGAGCAGCACGATGTTTTTCCAAAATGCAGTCAGAAGGGTGTTAGACTTGTGCAGAAACTGGGATAAACACATCTAACCATGATTCAAACAGAATCAGCAGATTTCCCCCTCTATCTCTGCAGCTATCTCTGTTAACAACAACAGGATGGTTGGTGTGAGGTCGTTAAGTAACACGTTAGATTAATGCCACTGACTCCACGAGCTATCAGCAAAATCTTTCAAAATAGACAAGGAATACCAAAGGAGAGCAACAAAACAACTCGGAAATCCGCTCAACTGAAAATAATAATGTGGCTCTATCTGCGGCAGATAGTATCTGCTGTAAGGAAGAGGAGCAGATTGTTGTAACCTGCGCTCTATGACTGGAGGAAATGCACCGAATGGGTGGCAATTTATTTCTTTGTGAATGTTGGTGCACCTGCAGTCATAAGATGATCAATTGCTCATTATGACTGAGGGGAGAAGGGTCAGCATATTATGATCAGGATCATTTCAGCTCTGTGCTAAATTTGTTGCCGCTGTGTTTTGTTTTGTTTTTCCGTGTCTGAGAACAGGACGAGAGATAAGGTGGGGGGGGGAAAGAATTCGGGTAATGTCATGCATGTCTTTCTGGCCTGTAGGTCTGAACCAGCCATGCGGCGATGCTTTTGATAGAGCAAATAACCTCAATGGCTGCCTTCATTCCTGTTCATTTCGCACTTCACTCTATTACTTGCATGAGCAATTACAGCAGTGTAGCTGCTTGGCGTTGGGTTGCCATTACTGCGTGTGTGCGTTTGGTTGTGTTACTCAGATTGTGGGGGTGTAAATATGTTTACACGTTCACATTGTGGGGAAAAGCAAGGAGATGATTCGATTTTTAAGGTGGAAGTATGATTTAAGGTTAGTTTGGGGTTAGATTTAACCTATGAAGATAAATTGAGTGTTTCTGTGCAATTGCAAACTCTGTGTTAACCATCCTGGTATCAAAATAAAGGTAACACTTGTGAGATCTCCTCATAGGTGTAAGGATCACAGCAGATGCTACTGTATCAAAGTAACTGAAGGTGGAACATAAAAATATATATAAGATTTTCTTCATATTTCATATCATCTAACACCTTTAAAAATATGTAGCTGTAGACCAAAAACTCAAGAAATCCATGAATCTGCATACGGACATTATCTGCTGAAATTATTTGTTTTGAAGGTCATTTTTGCAAAAATTAAAATCATACCAGCAGTCACCTCGAGGTGCTTTATATGCAAGGTAAAACTCTTCAAGAATAGACAGAAAATCCCAACAATTAGACGGCCCCCTATGAGCAAGCACTTGGCAAATGTGGGAAGGAAAAACACCCTTTTAAGAGGAAGAAACCTCCTGCAGCTATCGGTTGGGGGTGAAAGGGGTTTAGGAAAGTAGAAGTTATGGTTAGGCTCACTCTGAATTGATCTTCTTTTTGAAACCATATTCTCAAGCGTTCCTTTCCACACTGTCCCCTTTCTTCCCGATGAGTTCGATTAGCGCCTGTGATGTGACCTAATTGGAAAAAAAATCACATTGCCTGGCCCTTTAAGTGTGACAAAGCAAAGTGATCCGTATAATATCGCTTGCATGACACGGTGTTCAAAGATGGGAGGGGGCGGTGGTGAATAAGGGAGAGAAGTCCCATTTCTAAAACCAAGATTTGAAAAAAAGCTTAACAAAATTGTTCGCCCTGTTTCACTTTGTCCTTTTCTTCTAGTTCTCCTCTTTATCTCTAAGCTCTTTGCTGGCCAGCTGCTAGCCTGTGGCTCAGTAAAATTGGACAGGTGAAGCGGGACAGCGGGGCGTCACTGATACAGTTCGACAGAACTGCAGGCTATTCAGAGTTCGATATGCTCATTAAGTGAGAACACGGGTGAAATTGTATGCCCCCCACTCCCTCCACAACGCACCCCTTTAAAAAGTAGTCAAGTGGCTATACCGTTGCTATCTTTGTTTTGCTATGCAGCTGCAGTTATTAAGGTGAAATATGTGCTTTGTCTCGAAATGGGACCTCTCCGCACTACCTTACGTCTTTCACTTCACAGATCAAGCACGAGGCAGGAGCAGCTCGACTTGAGTTCAGCAGTGTGGAACACCTATTCAGTAACGTTCCTTTCAGGATGTGCTGAGGTTGAAATATGAGCAATATGAACCTGTCTTCTGCTTGAGAATAGATTCCTCCGCAGGCCTGTAAAGCTGCTTTCGCTGGAGACATGACTTACAATAAGAGATGGCGCAAGTGTCCTTGCGAGTTTCAGAAATCAATTACGCTGTGTTTTCCCCCATGGGTCGCAGTGTTGTATATGTATATGTGTCAGTGAGTGTATGTGCATGTGCGTGCTGAAATATGGCTGCTAAAACTTCTGCTGCGTCTGTGAAGAAGTTTACAGCAGAGGATAGAGAGCGAGAGAGGGGAGCTTCACTCAGTGTGAGAACAGAGAGCTGGTTACTGAGTTACTGGCTGGTCCGGATAAACAACGAGGCAGGCGTGTTGTCATGCACAAACACCAACAAATAAGCCTGCATACACACCAAGTGTTCCCTAAGATCACTGTGGGGTATTTGAGTTCAAATATCCAACATAAATGCACGTTCAGACAGGCTGCGTCTCCAGCTGGGTTAGTGACAGAATGAGTGCAGTAGTACAATACGATACAAAAAAGAAAAAAAAACCCAAACCCCTCCGCAGTTTCTGCGTTACTGAAACAAATCTTTTCTATATCTCAAACAGTATTATCAGCTTTTCAAAGGAAACCTTTGTGGTGAAGCGATAAGGGCTTTCAGATCTGGAGATATAAAATACTTTATATTTATATTTCGAAATATCATAAATACACACGTGCTTCGGAGACAGCTGCTGCTGGAGCTGTGGACGCCAGCGTAAGTCTTGTCGCTGTACATTGGCATCTTCTTTAGCCGACATAAATCCAAGATGGCCAACGCTTCAACAGCAACATAAGTGTTTGAAAGGCAAAAAAAATAGATTCTGCGGGAAGATTTACTTAGATGCAACAGAATTTTTAATGTTTTCATACATTTTAAAAGAGGCTTTGAAACAAACGTCAGTATGCACCGAGGACTTTCCATCAGCTGTCTAAATAAATCACTAAAGAAACGGGAACAGAACAACAAACTGATAGCACTTTAAACATGCCGCTGTAAATTAAATCTTAAAGACGTGGACATGGCTGACGGCCCCCTCCTCTCTCCTTAGTTCATCAGGCAGGACTGATAGGTGGGGATCATGTATTTGATGTTTATATAGGCGTCCGGTCCTCCGTAGCGCTCAAAGATCTGGAGAGTCTCGTTGATCAGTTTGCCAATGTCCTCTTTCTCCAACTGGTCGTAGTCGATGCCATCTCCGAGATTTTCTAGGGGACGAGCAAAGACATAAACCAGACAGAATGAGGAAAAACAAAACAAAGACGGCGTATATTCTAGGAGCGCCCGGGTCATTTCAGACTGTGAGGCTGATGTCAGGGCTCACAAAGCACCACCTGTGGCCACAGCGCATTGCTTTGAGACTGCAGACCGAGTCGGCAAATGCCATCCTTCCATCTGACTTCAAACCCAGTGGACAGACTGAATTTAATTTACTCCTCTTATGCCGAGGCCAGTTGGGACTGAACGGCAAAAAGAGTTTTCAGCTGAAAGTTTAATGAGGCGGCCTGCGGAGGGGAGAGCGGTGGAGAGGACGCACGAGGTAGTGTGTGCTCTGCTGCTGCACAGAGCACGCGCCGGTGCACATGAGGCATGAGCAGTGAGCTGGAGTCATGCTCCAAAGGTAGGAATGTGCTCGGTGTGTGTGTGTGTGTTTGTGCTGTTATCTTCTTTCACTGATGTGATTGTGTGATTTTGATTTGGAGTAAAATCTGAGACAGTAAAAATCCTCAAAAACACACAAAGGAGCTGATCCTCTGCATTTCAGTTAGGACCCCTGCAGTTTATAGTTGTGGATCACGGCTTTATTCTGGGATCTCGGACACAGTGGGTTGCAAAGAGGCTTGCAGGTAATGCTCAAAATGACATTAGCTGAACTGGGATTGTAACTGACCTGGAGTCTTTGGTTTACTGAATTTAAATAAATTCCACAGCTGTGGACGTACATCTGTACGCAATTAAAACTCGTTCACTGCACGATGAAAAAATCTACATCTCTTTGACCCAAGTGGACTCCTTTAATGCTACGCTTTGGCTGCATGTTTGCATACTCCACTGTGATTAAAAATAAACTTGTGGCTAACTGAAAAGCAGTGAAACCTGCCCTCCACTATCTCACACACACACACACACACACACACACACACACACACACACACACACACACACACACACACAGTCACAGTGTAGTAAAACACATAAAATTACAACAGCCAAGCACACAGCGCAGGAAGAACTTGTTATCAGGAAAACATTCCTGAGGTGTCCAGGCTGCACTCCTCCTTCCTCCTTCCTCCTTCCTTTTCACCAGCAGGCACACTTAAACGCGCGCGGCGCGCAGCAGGCACACACACACACAAACACACACACACACACACACACAACACACAAACACACACACACACACACACACACACACACACACGTTGACTTTATCAGCACACAGCAAACTGCCAATCTCATGCCAGTGCACCGAGGCTCAAACCACACACACAGCAGACAACACACACACACACACACACACACACACACACACACACACACACACACACACACACACACACACACACACACACACACACGCACGCACGTCCAAGTTTGTTGCCAATTTAAGGCCCTGCTCAACTAACATATCCTGAAGAAAGAGTGTAGATTTTATTTCTGGAGGCTATAAAATAAAACAAAGAAAAACAAACCGGTCATTTGACTTTAGAGAGATTTGAGAAGAGAAGAGAAGAGAAGAGAAGAGAAGAGAAGAGAAGAGAAGAGAATCATCAGGATGTGATGTGAAAAATTAAAAGCAGCACTTAAAGGAGGACCCGGCAACCCCTTCTTTCACTCTTAATTAGACGTGGAGAGAGAAAGGGGACACTAAACCTCACGATAACCTCTTCCAAACACTCCATCCTTTATTCTTTCTCAGTCTTTTCTAATCACTCATCTTCCCTTACAACCCCACCAACCCTCACCACCCCTCCATCTTTCTCCTCTCCTTTCCACTCGTCCATGGCCTCCTCATTAAAACACAAAGACAGCCAGTCCCATAAAGTGGACTGTTAAGCAGTAACATGTCTATGATCTCAGTCTGCAGCTCTCGCTTTTTGATATGTGGGGGGTTGGTTTCCAGCTGTGCTTTGACCAACAGTTAGCCCAGATACACTTAAGATTTTTACAGCTTTGGCTTTATTTAGCAGCTATTTACTGTTTTCCTTTTAGAGATACAACAACTACAATAGTCGCATACGCTGAGGAATGCATCATTCGAGAAAAGCTCTTATTCACATCAAAACTCAGGCAGTGGTTCATTTTGGACCGGCCCACAACACAGGCGTCCGCACCCTACTAGTTAGCAAAGTTTTAAATAGCATCTATAATGCAGCCAGTGAAAGAAAATCAGAGATGTGTGTAAGCTGGGCAGTGAGAGGTAATGAGTACAGTGACTCTTACAAACTTGCAGTCTGCTTCAGCTGCGTGTGTGTGTGTTTGCACAAAAGCATGTTGGTGTAGGTTACAAAGCCAAGTCTGTGGAGAGTTGCCCCCTGTTACTGTGGAAATGAGCAGCCAAAGCCAGCCCAGAGGGGGAGCTTGGCCTTCAGACAGAGAACACAGGGAGTCGGGGAAGAGGTGCAGCTTGGGAACCAGCGGAGCTCCGACCAGTTTCCTGGGGCCTGGAGTTGGGGCAGAGAGGTTGTGCAATCTGGGGCCTTTCAGCCCATCCAAACACATCTCGCCTGGTGAGCTGTTGGGAGGCCAGTAGCGTCTAAAGGCAGAGAGCAGAAGAATTTTCAGCGATTCTCAATATTTAAAGAGCAGAAAGGGGAGAAGTGTGTTTAAGCAGGGATGGAGGAAAAGGAGTGAGGAAGGAGAGGAGGGGTGAGGGTGTTAAAAGCAGCCTCTGCAAATGTCCTTCAGCAAAATAACTTCTCTTTCTACTCTTGCTTTTTTCCCCCTTCTCTCCCCTCCCTGCTTTTTTTTCTTCTTCTTTCCTCTCTCCTTTTGGCAATATCCGCAACCCTGGGCAAAGAGCGAGACAGAGGGAGAGCGAGGGGAAAAAAATCTTTAAAAACAATCATAATAAAAAAAAACTCCCACCCCATGAACAGAAGGAAAAGGGCCCTAGCAGGAGCCGGCTCTATGTTCCTCTGAGGAAGACGAAAGGTCGATACAGAGGCAGACAGCGGAGGATTCTCGGTGCAGCGACATTTGCTACACAGAAGGTGGAGGAGGAGGAAACGCAAGGTGGCTTGGAGACGCCGCTTTGTTTCTGCCTTTTATGCTAAATCCCCGGGTTTAAAGGGGGCCTTTAGCACATAAAGCGAGGTGAGGAAGCTGGAAGGAAGAGGTGAAATTATCTATCTATATATCTGTCGATGCCTCTCTGGCTCTGCTGTGATTTCTGCCAACCCACAGCAGACCAAATCTAAACTACACACAACAACAGCTGCAGCCTTCCTCCTCCTCCTCCACCTCCTCCTCCTCTCACACCCTGGTCTTTCTTCATCCCTCAATCCCCACAGTCCTAAACAACCTGTCTTCCCACATCAAGCTGAAGACGAGCTGTCACAGATGGAGGCAGCGCTCGCTGTTTCTCCGAATTACCTCCAAATGTACAGACAGCGGCCTTTCGAGGCATATTTACTGCTGGCAAACTGGGTCTAATGGGTTATAAGCAGACCTCCTTATTGCTTCATTTTTCCCTCTGAAGCTGTAACAGAGCTGCGCTCTTACCCAGCCCAAAGATTTCTGACTGAGGTTAGTGTGCATTATGTGTATGCTGTGAGGTTATAATCCCCTTCTCCCCTCTGCTGCCAGGGACTGAGTGACACACACAATGCAAAGGCTTTGGGAAGTTTAGCTCGAAATTCCAGTGCTGGCTCAACGTAGCATCATCCCACCTGCTTTGTTTCTAATCAACTTACGCCTGATTATGGAGGTTCCTAATGAAAGCAGCTTAGAGAACAGACCCCCCAACACAATAGCCCTTTGATCATAGCAGCCAGATGCTGAAGAGACTCAATGAATGTGAGAGACTTGTTTTTCTTTCCTTCTTTTTTTTTTTTTTTAAATTTCCTCTGAAGGGCTTTGGCCTTGCTGAAAAAGGGAAATGGAAGAATGCAGGTTATGAGTGTGATGGAGCAGCTTGAGTTCCAGGAATATTTTGAGCATTGCTGCACAGCTGACTGTGTTACAAGAGTGCATGTGTTGCATATCTTTCCTGCTCACAAACCCGATAGCACTCGAAGTCCATTTTTTCAGGCAGACTAAAGAGCGTTTTCATTCAGAAACAAAACCAAACAGAACAGAGTAAATTCCATGAAATTCAATTTTTTTTAAAAACCATCAATGTTTGTAATTGTTCTTTCATAGTTATATAGTCGCAGTTTAATGTGACTGTTTACAGAATTTGAGCTTAAAAAGGGCTAGAGAAAGGGGTCGTGCATTTTCTTCGCCTTCTGGGCACAGTGTTTAACGCCTTCAGGTCTCAAAGGACAAGGAGTGAAGAGAGCACAGCGGCGGTCTGTGTGCAATGGAGGGTGTGTGGGTTGGAGGAAGGAGGTGATGGGAAGTGGATGGGACCATTGGAGGAGGTCTGTGCTTAACAGCAGGGCTCTAATTAAAAGTGCCTCACAGTTGGGTGCCAGGCAGGCCTCGCATAAAGGGACTGTGGTGGAGAGTGTGAGACTTGATGTGTGTGTGTGTGTGTGTGAGAGAGAGTGAACGTATGCTAGTGTGTGTGTAACCACAGGTGTCTGTGAAGGAAAGGCAGAAAGACAGAGTGAAAAGGGGCTTGTATATGCTCTTATATGTGTAATTCTAAGTACTGTATGTAGTTTTATGAGTTTACTGCATGTGCGTGTAGATGACATAAGCATTTTTAAGTGATTACATGTGACAAGGACAGAAAGAGCTAGAGAGCAAGTAGGAAAAGGGTCTTTCTTAAAAATATATACTTGCAAAATCTAAGAAAGGCTCACAGGATGTTCAAAAATACAACAAACACCACCTCACCCTCAAATACTGTTCTTCCCCTCTCACTGGTTATTTCCCTGTGCCATTGTCCCTCCCACCACCACCACAATGGATTAGGCTAGGCTGATGGACAGCATAGCTGTGGCTCACATATACATCCACCTACACACACACACACACACGCACGCACGCACGCACGCACGCATACATAAACATAAACATGCACGCACCTGGAGCTGGG